ATTTAGGAATAGTGGAATGTGGAATGAGATTTTGAAACAGGCGCTGGCAGTGATTTAGGAATAGTGGAATGTGGAATTTGAGTTTGTGCAGCATTGATTTGAGGCAACAAAACCTGTCAACAAACACTGCAAAACTATTTGCATGCTCATGGTAGAAAACTAGTACTGCATTTTGTATACAGTACCTGACATTTTACAAGAACGAGAGGTCATAGAGTCGTACACAATGGAAACAGATCCTTTGGCCCAACTAGTCCACACTGACCATGTTTCCAAACCAAACTCGTCCCACTTGTCTGCGTTTGGCCCATCGCGTTCCAAACCTTTGCTGTTCATGTACTTATCCAAGTGTCTTGTAAATGTTCTAAATGTACTTGCATCTAGCCTCTGGCAGTTAATTCCACACATGAACCACTCTGGATGTTAAAAAAAATTGCCCCTCATGTCATTTTCAAAACTCTCTCCTCTCACTGTAAAAAAAAAAAAAGCCCGGTAGTTTTGAATGCCCCCGCCCTATGGAAAAGACCCTTGCTATTTACCTTAGCTATGCCCCTCATGATGCTGTGATCCTTAAGAGGATCATCCCTCAGCTTCCTACGCTTCAATGAAACAAGTCCCATTCTACTTTTATAATTCAAACCCTTCATTCCCGGCAACATCCTGAGAAATATTTTCTGAACCATCTCCAATTTAATAATATCCTTCTTATAGGAAGGCGACCAGAACTGTACACAATAGTCCAAAAGTGGCTGCCACTTGCATTGTGCTGCAAGGATTGGTGTGTGGTCCATTGCTTGTAGTGATCTATATCAATGATTTGGAATTGAATATGGGAGGAACGGTTAGTAATTTTGCACATGATACCAAAATTAATGGTGTAGTGGACTGTGAAGAAGGTTATCTCCGAGTAGGATGGGACCTTGATCTGATGGACCGAGGAGTGGTAGGTGGTGTTTAATTGAGATAAATGAATCAAATCAAGGCAGGATTTATACACTTAATGGTCCTGTGGAATGTTGCCGAATGCAGAGATCTCGGTTGCAGGTTCATAGTTTCTTGAAGTCACAGGTAGACAGGGTAGTGAATAAGGCGTACTGTACATTTGCCTTTACTGAATAGTGCATTGAGTGTAGCAGTAGGGATGTCATACTGTGGCTGTACAGAACATGGATTAGGACACTTTTGGAATATTGCATTCAATTCTGCTCTCCCTGCTGTTGGAAAGATGTTGTTAAACTTGAAAGGATGCAGAAAAGCATATTGCTGGGGTTGCAGGGTTTGAGCTATAGGGAAAGGCTGAATAGGCTGGGGCAATTTTTCATGGAATGTCAGAGGCTGAGGGGTGGCCTGATACACATTTATAAAATCATGACGCGCATGCATAGGTTGAATAGCCAAGGTCTTTTCCCCAGGGAGGAAGAGTTCAAAACTAGAGAGCATAGGTTTAACATGAGAGGGGAAAGATTTAAAAGGGGACTGAAGGGGCAACTTTTTGATGCAGAGGGTGGTGCATGCATGGAATGAGCTGCCAGAGGAAGTGGTGGAGGCTGGTACAATGACAGCATGTAAAAGACAGATGGATTGGTATATGAATAGGAATGGCGAAGATGGATATAGGCCAAATGCTAGCAAATGGGACTAGATTAATTTAGGATATCTAGTCAGCATGGATGAGTTACACTGAAGGGTCTGTTTCCGTGGGATACAACTCCATGACTGTTACTCTAAGAGACCTCACCCACGTCTTGTACAACTTCAACATGATGTCCCCACTCCTACACTCAAAGGTCTGAGCATGCTAAACGCCACCTTAATCACACTGTTTACATGTGATGCAAATTTCAAACAATTCTGTGCTTGAACCCCTTGGTCTCTCTGTTCTATAAAACAATTGGCTTATTTGGCTTGATGGTGTGTTTACGATGCAGATACTGGGTTCAAATCCCACATCAGCTGAGGTTACCATGAATGACCCAACACGACCTCTGCCTTCACCTGAGGCGGGTTAAACTCCCCACCAGTCATCTCTCTTTAATGAGAGCAGCCCTTTGGTCCTCTGAGACCTTTTACCTTGAAAGAATTGAGGAAAAGGCACTGCAAACATCGTGACATTATTTACTGAACTTCCTCGATAATTAGGCAAGGTTTTGCATGCAGAAAAATGTGACCTCTTGTGAAACCAGAGGCAGCACATGTCCTCAGCAAATTACTCACTATCTTTTCAAAACATTTGAAGCAATATGCGTTCTTATGACATGCAGTGTAAGCAAAGTTGAAAAGTGCCTCCCTGAAATATTTGAGATAAAGACACTGTGTACTTTTGGTAGGTTATGCATCCTTTGCATGAAGTGGAATGTCTAAATCCTACACAAGTTGTTTGGGCCATCACTTGTATTGATGAAACATTGGTTTCAACTTGTATACCAATTACATTGCAGTTACAGGATCAATTATTCTGAATCGAAGTTAGTAACAGTATTGGTGGCATAATCTGAATGAATCGGAGGAAATTTAGGCTAAATAAAGTATCTACAACTCGAGCAACTTTTATTCTGCCCTTTTAACTGTTGAAGTCAAACAAATGAGCAGCTGAGCCTCGGAGAACAGGAAAGCCTGATGCATCTTTGGTTTTTGCTGAGTTGCCTGATTTTAGTGGTTGTCGGTGGATAAGAACAGATATTGGGTAAGGATTTCTTTGAGGTCAAATGTAATAGTGTTACGTTCTTTGCCGATACTTGCTAAGAGCCACTTGTGCAAGCTATCACAGCAATCACAAGTGTATATCGTTGTCTTGAGGAAGGGAGAAAAATAAATGAAGTGAATAATTGAATCTTGAATGTTTCTTGAGAGATTAGGTTATACTATGTTGAGTGTTTCTTCAGAATTCTGCAGAGGTGTACAGAGCCTGTTTGAGTTGGTGCTCCCAGTTACATCATAAGAACCGAAGAACTTGGAGCAAGAGTTGACAGTTCAGCCCCTGGAGCCTGCTGCACGAAGTGCAATCATGTTTGATCTCATCGCAGCCTCAATTTCACTTTACTGTCCACTCTCCATCACCCTTTCACCCATTACTAATAGTCTGATTTTCAATCTCCTCCTTTAAATTTAGTCCATGTCCCAGCATCCACCGCACTCTGGGGTAGTGAATTCTACAGATTGACCTCCCTTTGAGAGAAGTAATTTCCTACCTGTGTTTTAAATCTGCAACTCCTTACAATTAAACCATGACCTCTGGTTCCATATTGCCTCATATGAGGAAATATCCTTTCTATGTCTGCTTTATCAATCCTTTTTAACATCAACTGTTCCTCAATTAGATCTCCACTCGTCCTTGTAAACCCCAGAGAGTACATGATGCAGCAAGGAGAATCCAACAACATCAAGTTCTGACAGCCTTATAAAAATTTGGTCATTATCCTTGGCTCTTAGCAAGTTAACCAAACTAATTTTGATGTGTTTTGTGCTGGTGACTTGTAAATGCTGCCATCCATTAAATGCAAGTGCACCAACAATATTATTACAGAGAGGGTTCCAGGTTTCTGACCCAATGCTGAAAGAACGTTTTCAAGTCAACTTGAGTGTATTGTGGAGGGGAACTTGAAAGTATTGGTGTTCCACAATATCTGCTTTTACTCAGTCTCTTAACACTTCATTTTTTTCCAAGTGCATCCTGGTTTAAAATCCTTTGTGAGATAATTTTTCCGTTCCACTGGGATATTTCCAAGAGCCTTTCCTCTAGTTGTCCATTTCCATGATTCAGATTTCATATTCCTTTGACCTCTGATAAATACCTGTCCCTTCATCTTCTCAGGGACCAAGCTCTGCAATTCATTGAATTAAATTCCACCAAATGTGTGGTGGTATTTGAATCCGGATCAGTCATTCAGTAATATTAACACTCAGTCTTGAGTTTTAGTAAAAGTAAAATGGAAAGAAATTGGTGGTATTCTGCGATGTAAAAAGTCATGGTTAATTAAGTTCTACCCTGGCCTTCAGTATATTCAAATCAACACATTAGAAAAAACACTGCTGCAAGGTAACTTTTTGTTCGGAAAGGCGTTATTAATGAATGAAGAAATCATCTCCTATGTTGCTACAGTTGTTCCTGTAGATGGGCCCATGACTGTATTTGATTTTGGTGACTATCATTTAAACTGCAAAGCTGAAAGAAATGCATTGTTCTTTTATTTTCAGCAAATGCATCTCTTTATGTGCAGGTGGTTAACTAATATAATGTTAATAGTTTTAACATTGTTTTAAGAAAATGTTTACATCCCTAAAGTATACTTAGGGTTTGCCAATTTTTCTGGAGAAAAACTACTTCTCTGTTCAACTATAGAATGCAGCTGTTGCTCCTTTTTTTCTGAAATAGACTTGAACATGACAAAATTGTTGATTTGTTTGGAATGAATTGTTACTTGATCTTAATTTTGCCAAGTTTACTGTTTCTCTTTTCAGTGAATCCGTGACTCATGTTGTGTCTGAGAATAACTCCGGTGATGAGGTGTTAGAATTGCTGGATAAACAGAGTGGAATTTGCAGAGCGGCTTTGGTAGATATCACGTGGTTTACTGAAAGTATGGGAGCAGGCAAACCCTTGGAAGTAGAAAATCGTCATCGGCTTCAGGTATTTTAATACGGATCTGAACAGTGAGCACCTCTTGACAAATGAGTGTTAAACACACATAAAGAAGAGTCCCAGGAAATACTTGCAAATGAAGTGAGTCTTCATCGATGATGTCTTATGGTTGTTTTATGCACAGTTTAGTTTACTAAAATTCATGATTTATTGTTTCCCTTACACTTATAGGGAGAGAGATCCTTTTTACGAAGAAACATGTTGCATTATGAATCGACCATGTGAGACAGAAGTAGGAGTAGACTATGTCGTCCATTGGGTCTACTCTGCCATTCAGTAAAATCATGGTGATCTAATTGTGGCATTCACTCCACTTTTTTGCTTCTCTCTAACATCTTTGGACTTCCTTCAGTTCAAAAATCAGTCTAACTCAGCCTTGAGTATTCTCAGTGAAGCAGTCTCCACGACTGTCTGGGCAAAAGAATTTCAAAGTGCAATAACCCTCTACACTACACAACAGCTGTGACCTCAGCCACGTCCTGTGTACTTGGAGCAAGATTTTCCCTCTTTTCTTACTCCATACTCCTTGCACCAAAGGCCAATCTTCAATTTCCGTTCCCGATGACATGCTGTTACCTGCATGCTCACTCACAAAGCTTCCAAATTGTTATTGAAAAGTGTAAATAGATAACATAGAGACAGAGAAAATAGGAGCAGGAGGAAGCTCTTGACACCCTTTACCATTCAATATGGTCATGGCTGATCCTCTTTGTCACTGTTACCCTCACCTTCTATCCCCATTCCATGTGATAGTATTCATGGCTGGAATATCTGTTTCTTTGCTGGATATTTTCAGTGACTTGATCTTGACAGCCTTCTGTGATGGAGATTTCCACAAGTTCATTGTCCGATGAATGAAGAAAGTTTTCCTCACCTTGGTCCTAAATAGTTCACTGCGAATCCTGTGACAGTGAGCCCTTGTTCTGGACTCTTACTGTCCCCACTTCTGCAGACAGGGCAGACTTCAGCTCTGGTCATGTTGCAAATATGGGACTTGTCAAGCTACTCATTTTGTAAAACCTTTCACATAGTGTTGGCTGAAACAGAATGTATTTGATCGGGGAATGATGTGATCATGAGAAAATCGAGCAACAGTTTTTGTACCTTGACACAAAACAAGGGTCAGAGATTTTTACGAATCTGCAGAGAAAAAAAGGCTCAGTTGCTTAGAAACAGACAAATGACAACTTCTGTGAGAAGCAGAGCAAAAGTCACTTATTTTTGTTCCACCAAATGTATGTGATGTAGTTGAATCTTAACTGTCCGCTGGGCAATTAGGGATGGGCAATATATGCTGGTTAGTCAGCGATGCTCCCCTCCCCTGATTGAAGAACACACCATGCTGGTGGGATCTGGTTCTCTGCTTGAAGAAACAGGAGTTGTGAAGACTTACAGAACCAGTATTGAGTGAGACAGAAAGCAGGAAACCAAGGGCTGGTTCATTGATCATGTGTTGTAGGGAGAATGTAGCTAGTTACAATGAAAGAAGTTCCAAATATTCAGGCAGACTCAGCATGGTTTTGTGAGAAGGACATCTGTTAGACTGATGTATAAGAGTTTTTTCGGCGCTAAGATGTGCTTTGGATAAAGGGGACCTGGTAGATCTACTGTACGTGTAGATTTCCAGAAGGCATTTCACAAGGTAACGCATGAAAACTTATTGTGGAAAGTGAAAGCTCATGGTGTAAGCGGTCATGTATAGACATGGTAGATGAGTTGCTGGCTCACAGGAAGTACTAAGCACAAATAGGTCTTTTCAGTTGCCAAAATGTATTGAGTGGTATGCTACAGTGATCAGTGCAAGGACTTCAGTTGTTTACAATTTATAGAAGTTACTTGGATGAAGGGACAAAATGGAGCTTTACGAAGTTTGCTGATCACACAGAGATATGTCGGAAAATACATTGTGAAGAGGACATAGGAAGGTTAAAAGATTGTTTGGGACCAGACCAGATGCCCTTCAAATAGCTCAAGGAAATAGACTAGACCCTAACTTTTATCTTATTTAAAGGCAAGTTTCAGGTACTGTGTTCCATACGTAATTCGATTGCTCATACTGCTCAGTTTTAAGCAAAACAAACTTTTATTCTTATCCCAGTTAAAATGCAAGCAAAAGAAAGAATTGGGTATAACTTGAACTCTATTGGAAAACTTAACAGAACAATAGATTATTTAACTCCTAAACAGCAACTCTTCCAAAATGGTAGCATCCCATAAACCTTGACAAAGGCGAATTCAGTGAAATACATTGTCTGAAATGTGATGTTTCTCCAGTCCAGGAGACAGAAACGTGAAGAGAAAATTCTGGCAGAGAGAGGATTCTAGCTTTTTGCTGTGGCAGAGAGACGTGTGCAACTACAACAGGTTTGAAGCCAATGTCAAACCCCCAATAACTGAAAGATAAATTAAAACCCTGATTTTGTGGGACCTTACTTAACCCATTCACGCTACTTGTATTGTTCTAACTTCAAGAAAAAAACCCAGGGCCTCACAAGCTGTTTACTTTATTGGCTTGGAAGAGATAGCTCAATACTTTGTCTCAACCTCTCTCTGTTTAAAAAAAACAGGAAAAAATACACCTCTTAAAGCCATAGTATTGTCACAAGATATTGATAGTTTAAGTGGGTGGGCAGAAAAGTGTGAAAATGTGAATTTGTCCATTTTGGCAGGTAGACTAAAAAGAGAAGCATGTTACCTAAATAATTAGAGATTGCAGAGCTCTGAAAAGCAGAGAATTTGGCGGTAAAAATGCGTGATTCACAAAAGGTTAGTCTGAAGGTTCAGCAAGTAACTAGAAACCTAATAGAATGTCATCGTTTCTCATAAGGGGAACTAATTTTTAATGTAGGAAGGTTTTCTTCAGCTGTACACTGGACTGGTGATTATTCACTTAAATAGACATCTTGTGATTCTGTTTCTGGAGTACTCTGCACAGGTTAATGAAGGATGTCAATGCATTGGAGGCAGTTAAAAGAAGGTTTACTGAACTAATACCTGGAATGAGTGGATTATCTCAAGGAGAAAAGTTGGACAGTCTAGGCCAGCATTCACATGAATTTGGACTTGATTGAAATATGTAAAATCTTGATCAGTTTTGACAGGAAATGTGTGGAGAGGATGTTTACTCTTGTGAGAGAATTGAGGACTAGGAAGCACTTCAAAACTCAGGGATTGCCCATTTAAAACAGAGATTCTTTCTCTTGAAAAGCTGGTGTAAGCAAAGTGATTCTTTTTAGAGCAGGGTTAGATAGATTCTTGTTAAACGCCATGTGGAAGGTTATTGGGGGAAGGTGGGAATTTGGATTTTAAGTTTCAGTCACATCAGCCATGATTCTAGTGCATAAACAGTTTGGAGGGGCTGAATCATCACATCTTGCTCATTCATTGTATCCCTCTGTGTGAAATCCAAAGAGTGAGCTTTCTTGCTGTAAATTGGTTCAGGAATATGCAGAAGACTGAGTGAAATGGCTTTTAAAGGATATTAGAATATGAGTCCTAGCATGGCAGGGAGACTTTTGAAAATTTAGGAGGAGTTGAGGCTGCACTGTGGGTGGGAATGGGGTTTGGGCTTGTGGGGGGAGGTTGGTACAGAGTACCAATATGTCACAAGGTATTTTGGTTGGGTTCATTCATTGGGATGAACCTTTGGTTTAGTTTGGGGTATTAGTTGCCTGCTAAACCATTGGTACCCATGTTGGATTTTTATCACAGTAGAAACCTTAACATGTGAAACATTGTCCTGTGATATTTTGTGTAAGGCATTGGGAATTGAGTCTCTTTTCCTAATATGCAGTGGGATTGTGACAGTAGTTGGCTTGTGTTTCATGAAGAACGTAAAACAATTTATTGGGGACACATTGCACTCGTTTGGGAAGTTTACACGCACATTGGTCGTACCAAGTTTTGGACATGGTTAATATGAGTGGAGGTACTGTTGGAGTCAAAGCAAGTAAATAAATAGTTTACCAATTCATAAAAATGTTAAACTTGCAGTTGTCCATTGAAAACCACCCTTCCCCAAAGGGTTTGCTGTTAACTGCAGTCAGGTGGGAAGAATGTCTGTCTGTTTGTTTGTCTTTGAGTTTTGAACAAGGTTGACAAATGAATCATCAACAATGGTTTGAGGTATTGTGGTTGCTTCAGAAGAGAATGACTGACTTTAAAAAAGGTTTTAGTCTGTCATCAGAAGGATGTCACCTTTAATTTATTTCCATCACACAGAAACTCCACTTAATTTGTCTAATATGATAAGTTTTTGGTGACTAAATTCTCATGTGGAACAAAAAGTGTTATAGTGAGTGATTGGAGCTGGTCAAAACACTCACCTTTTGTGTTTGATTTTAGGTGAAGACAGCTGCTGATGGTGGCCCCATTGGCATTCCTATTTCACAGTACGCCTGTCAAAGAAGGACTACACTGAATAATAAAAATAGTTTATTTACGGTAATAATCATGGACAACTCTCCTTCACTGCCCCAAACCTCAAATACGTTGCATTGATTACTGTGAAGTAAGTTGAAACTCTTTGTCATGCCCAACCTCATTACTTCTGGCTAAACAAAAGCGGAAATTGCTGAACAATCTCAACAGATTTGGTCAACGTCTGATACAAGAGAAACAGCCTACATTTGAAGTCCAGTGACCCTTCTTCAGACCCCTGGCCAAACTAAGTGAGAGGCACATTGTTTCTGGTAGTTGCGTATATTCACTACTTGATGACACTGTTAGAACGTGCATGTGTATTTACAAGTCAGTTGAGTTGAGCTTTGCACCATGAGTACAATGACTTGGACCATTCTTGACTCTGTTGAGAAGTGATGAATGGCTGTTTCAGAAGGGTGGGGTGGGAGAAAGGAAAATCCCTGGCTTTAAAACCTTATTGTATGATAGGCATAACAATAATTTTTACGATACTGGAGATGAATTTGTCGTCCATAAAGTTAAGGCAATTAGCCATGTTGAATTGTGTACATTAAAAGAGATGGATTTGAGTGGATTGAGGTGGGATGACCAATCATGTTTTTGCCTAGGAAGCTTTGAAGATACTTGCTGAAAATGCACAGTTATGTGAGAATGAAGGACGATACCTAGCATTCACAAGAGCATCTTCTATTCTGAAGTCATTGCCCTATTGTGTAACCAAAATGGATGATCTCCAAGGGATTCCCAGTCTTGGAGAACATTGCAAAAGAGTGATTAAGGTAAAAGCACGACAAATTGTTTCTCTGGTCTGGTTCTTCTGGCTAACCAGGAGTGTAGTTAGTTTTTCCAACGTGCTCGATTTATATGATTGATTTTGATGCATCCCTTCAAATGAAATACATGAACATTTCTTTCCCCTTGGCTGCAGGACATCCTTGAAGGTGGAATCTGCAGGGAAGTTGAGGAGTTAATCCAAAATGAAAGATATCAAACATTAAAGGTGAGTCTCAGTTTTTCATATCTTCATGTCAGATGATGTTTGCTGAAGAAATCTCTCAGATCTGAGGATTGAGCAAACAGCAGCTGTCTTATGTTAGAATAATGGGAGCAAGCCATCTCCAAATGATCTCAGTCGGTTTGATATAAACTCACTGACTATTCTCATTTTGGTCTGAGCATTGGAGGTTCAATCATTTATCATGTTGAAGGCCGAGTTGGAAAAGGTTTTGATTCAGAAGAAGGTGAATAGATAATCGGAGCTGGGCAGTCAGGAAAGCTGAGTTGAGGCCACTATCAGATGAGCCATGGATTTAGTGAATGCCAGAGCAGATTGAATAGCAATCTCCTGCTTCATCTTTTTGTGTTTTTATATTTCTTTTGTATGTGCAATTTCCAATGTTGCAAAAGTGATTACGTTTCCAGACATATATTTCCTTGGTTTAAAGAGAGTGTCCTGAGGTCACAAAAAGTGCAATATGCCAAAGGGTGAGTTCAGTTTCAGTTCTGGCTGTGGTCCTTCATGGATGTCTGCCTCCTTCCTTTTTCTTACTTCTTGTGAAGTGGTGCCCCTCAGTATATAACCACTTGTCTCTCTAATAAAAAGAGATGCTTGGACTCCTTGACGGGCTATGGTAAAGTTCTTGGTTTACTTTATATTTGAAAAGAACAACACACTGCACAGGAGCTGTCCTGCTGCTTCTCTCCAGAAATGATAACTCTGTGTCTGGTTCCTATGGTTTGTAAGTGTAGTTTCTGGTTTTGCAGCGATTTACCAGTATCTTTGGCGTTGGTGTGAAGACAGCTGATAAGTGGTACAGAGAGGGACTGCGAACTCTGCATGAACTGAGAGCATCAAAAATACTACTCACAAAAGAACAAGAAGCAGGTAATGAAGTTGTGGACAAAACAATAATTTAACTTGTTGCCTTTTAAGTTGTTCACTTTTCTCAAGGTCATGCATAATTGTTTAGTCTATCTGGTAAATTGGAACTGTGTTCCCAGCAAGAATCAGTTTCATCGGGACAGACAGGAGGGAAAAAAGGAATTGAATGCAAGTTGGGACATTTTACAGTCCATGTTACTGACATTTTCTTGAAGGTAAATTATGCACTTGTGAACTCCGTGCAATTCTAATATACTTAAAATTTACACATGTGTGCACTTCTCTTGCCTTCTCCTGAACTTGGCAGTTTTTCTGTACATTTTTGGAATGAGTGACTTTTGTTTCAGTTTAGTTCAATAGATGCCAGCAGTGCTTTGTTAGCATGTGCCAAAATTCGCCTCAGATCTGAGGGTAAGTTTGCTACTTTTTTTGGAGGGCATTACAGCCAAACTTGAGCCGATCTGTAAATTATATTCACAAAGGTACACATTTGAATAGGACTGAGTTGATTGTCTTAGACTTTATAAAATGCCTTCAGTCTGTTGCACTGTGCTAAATGCTTTTGATGGTGAAAATCCAAAATTGATCAAGAATTCTGAAAACGTGTTCGTCAATCTCAACAAGATGGGGACTGAGATATAGATTTTGAGACTATGTTTGACTGTAGGGTGTGGAATTACAGAATTAAGTTGAAATGGCTGCAGCTTTCAAACCTAATGTAGTACAGAGAAGTTAGCTCAGATTCACAGGATTATAGGGTACACATGTTGAAAGTCTGGACGAGGTTGCAGAAGTTGGGTGAAATGAACTAAAGGTTTTGGAGTTGAAGACAGGGATTTTAGAATGTGTGTCCTTGGAAATAAGTATTGAAGATAGAGGAAGGAAGGGTTTATAGTGACTTAACGGAGTGTCCCAGCTTCAATTAGAATTGAGATTTGCAAATTGAGTATTGCTTGGAGTCAAAGCATGAATAAGTTTGGACCTCCTTAGTTTGCATTCAGAGCTTTTTAGAAGGGGCAGCAACAAAAAGTGCACTTTAATGGAACTTGTAACACAGAAAAACACAGTCGTAATCAGGCTCCGATCAACATGGATAATTTCAAGTCGAGGAGAGCAAGCTTGCATCAGTTGTCATATTTTTCTGTATCTTTAGAGATTCCATAGATAGTTAACAAAGACTGAAGCTGAGCTGGAGCCAAAGCAAGTGATGTTTGATGGGCAGAATAAGGTTAGGTTGAGCAACATGGTTATCGAAAGAGACTTAAGAGTGGACAGGCATGGATGGAGAGACCTAGAGATTAAAGGAAGGGATGCAGTTCCAGCCATACCAAATCATACTGTGGCAAAGGGAGTTGTGGCATGAGAGGCTGGAATTAAGGAATGTAGATTTCACAGAAGGTGATAGGGCTGGATGAGTGGAATCATAGAATCCCTCCAGTGTGGAAGCAGGCCATTCGTTCCATGGAGTCAACACTGTCCCTCTGAAGAACATCCCGCCAGACTCTCAACCTGTAACCCTGCATTTTCCTCTGGCTTATCCACCTTGCCTGCACATCCCTGGACACTACGAGGCAATTTATTTGGGCAATAGATTTCAACAAGAGGACTGAAAGTTTGGTTTTGGTATGGTAGGGGAATGGAATAGTGAAATCGAAGTGCTAAAAGGCACATGGAAATATTGTGCAATATTATTTTCCTCCACTGAAGATGGCCTGCAATGTAACTCACTTTTGATGCTGCCAACTACCAATGTATATCAATAAGGAGCTGGAAAAAGGCTCTGGAGTTAAAACAAGAAATTCTGGTTAAAAAGAAACTTGATTTCAGTAATATTTCAAAAATACTTGGAATCCCCTGCGAAGTATGTACCTGTTTTTGAATAAAAGTTTTGTTTGTTTTACAGGCTTACTTTATTATGAAGACCTCATTGTCCCAGTAACAAGGACAGAGGCAGATTCAATCACGAAAATCGTTGAAGGAGCTGTACACAGATTTCTGCCTGCTGCAGTTATCAAGTTAACTGGTGGTTTTCGAAGGTTAGAGCACCAGTTTTCCATTTTATCATTTAGTTCTGTTAACTTAAGCTCATCTTTGTAAAAGCCTGAAACTACTGAGAAGAGTTAAGACAAAAGAATGTTTATATTGTTGAGAAACCTAGGTGACAAGCCAAGGCTCTTAAATCAGGATTGTAAACAAGGGAAGGGACAAGGTAAATTAGTAACTAGATTTTAGGTTTTTGGATTTTTTTTAAAGAGTAGTGGCATTGACAGATTTGAAAGACTTGGTATAATTATTTGTCCATCTGGAGCAAAATGGAAGATTTTTTTTTCTTTTGTTCAAAATTCTTGGCTGAAACTGGGTTTTAGCACGAGTATTTTAATTGCAAATCAGACATTATCCCACAAATTCGAGAAAGTCGGGGGCAGAGCTGAGTATGGTGGCCATCACCAAGGAGAAAGTGCTAGAAAAACTGAATGGCCTGAAGGTGGATATATAACCTGGACCAGATGGACTACACCCCAGAGTTCTTAAGGAGATAGCAGAAGGGATAGTGGAAGTGTTAGTGGTGATCTTTGAGGAATCGCTAGTGTCAGGGAGGGTCCCAGAGGACCGGAAAATCGCTAACGTGACACCCCTGTTTAAAAAGGGAGTCCGGCAAAAGATGGAAAATTACAGGCCGATTAGCCTAACCTCGGTCGTGGATAAGATTTTAGATAAGATAAGATCCATTGTGAAGGATGAGATTTCTGTATACTTGGAAGTGCATGGTAAAATAGATCAGCACAGCTTCATCAAGGGTGGTCATGCCTGACAAATCTGTTAGAATTCTTTGAGGAAGTAATGAGCAGGGTAGACCAAGGACAGTCTATGGATGTTATTGACCTGGACTTGCAGAAGACGTTTGACAAGGTGCCGCACAGGACTGAGTAAGATAAGGGCCATGGTGTTCGAGGCAATGTACTCGCATGGATAGAAGATTGGCTCTCTGGTAGAAAGCAGAGAGTGGGGATAAAAGGGTCTTTCTCAGGATGGCAGCCGGTGACAAGTGGTGTTCCGCAAAGGTCAGTGTTGGGACCACAACTTTTCACTTTATACATTAATGATCTAGATGAAGGAACTGTGGGCATTCTGGTTAAGTTTGCAGACAATACAAAGATAGGTGGAGGGACAGGTAGTATTGAGGAGGTGGGGAGGCTGCAGAAGGATATGGACAGGTTAGGAGAGTGGGCAAAGAAGTGGCAGATGGAATACAACATAGGAAAGTGCGAAGTCATGCACTTTAGGAAGAAGAATAAAAGCATGGACTATTTTCTAAATGGGGAGAAAATTCAGAAGTCTGAACTGCAAAGAGACTTGGGAGTTCTAGTCCAGGATTCTCTCAAGGTAAACTTGCAGGTTGAGTCTGTAGTTAGGAAGGCAAATGCAACTTTGGCATTTATTTTGAGAGGACTTGAATATAAAAGCAGGGATGTACTACTGAGGCTTTATAAGGCCCTGGTCAGGCCACATTTGGAGTATTGTGCGCAGTTTTGGGCCCCATATCTCAGGAAGGATGTACAGACCCTGGAGTGAATTCAGAGGAAGTTCACGAGAATGGTCCCAGGAATGGAAAGCTTAACATATGAGGAACTTTTGAAGACTCTGGGACTATATTCATTGCAGTTTAGAAGGATGAGGGGGAATCTAATTGAAACTTACAGGATACTGAATGGCCTGGACAGAGTGGATGTTGGGAAGATGTTTCCATTTGTAGGAGAGACTCGGACCCGAGGGCACAGTCTTAGAGCAAAGGGAAGACCTTTTAGAACGGGGATAAGGAGAAACTTCTTCAGCCAGAGAGTGGTGAATCTGTGGAATTCACTGCCTCAGAAGGCTGTGGAGGCCAGATCATTGAGCATATGTAAGACTGAGATAGATTCTTGATTGTAAAGGGGATTACGGGTTATGGGGAGAAAGCGGGTTGAGAAACTTAGCAGCCATGATTGAATGGCGGAGCAGACTCGATGGGCTGAATGGCCTAATTTCTGCTCCTATGTCTTATGGTCTTATTGAGTTTCCTAGTCGAAAAGCAGAAGTCTGTAGGTCCTGAAAATCTGAAGTAAAATCAGAAAATGCTGAATGTACTCAACAGGTTAGGCAGCATTTGTGGAAAGAGAAATAGACTCAACATTGCAGATCAATGACCTTGCATGAGAATTGGGAAAAGTTACAGATACAGTCGTGTTTGAGCAAGGGGTGGAAGGGACCAGGACAATGAAAGGTTTCTGGTAGGGGTGCCAGAGAAGCTAGACTGAGGAGTAGAAGAGTGAGTCTTACAGGACTGAGTAAAATGGTACCAGTAAGGAAAGAAACAAAACTTAGTTCAATTTAATGTAACGTATTCACTGTTCACAATGTCATCTCCTTGCCACTGGGGATATCAAATGCGGATTGGGTGAGCACTTTTGCAGATTGAATGGTGATGTTCTGCTTTGTGACCCTGAACTTCCAGTCACCTGTTATATTAATTCTCCACCTTTCCCTCATACTGACATCTCGGTCCATGTGTTGCTGTTGGTAAAGCTCAATGTAAACTTGAGGCATCAGACCCGAAATTTTAATTGAGCTCTTTCAACCTTCTGGACTCACCAATTAATTGACCAATTAGAGGTGGCGGAGGTGCATACAACAGCAGTGTTTAAGAGGCATCTTGGTAGATATATGAATCGGCAGGGAAAAGAGGAATACATAGAGGCAGTTTAGAGAGGCAACATGTGTCAATACAGTCTTGGTGGTCTGAAGGGCTTGTTCCTGTGCTGCACTGTACTGTGCTTTGTTCTAATGTCTGACTGTAAACTTTCCCTCTCCATTTTGTTTCTGTCTCTTTGCAGGTTTCAGATTTTCTCTTATTTTTGCTTTCAGACAACAGCAGTCTTGCTCTTGGCACTTTTGTTTGATTGTTTGTTTATTTGTTTTTGTCATGCAACTGTCCCTTTGTCGTCAGATTGTCACCACAACCGTTAGAATGGGAACCAAACACTACTGCATTAACCTGACCCGAAAGAAATGCATTTGAAAACACCACTATATTGTAATCTGTTTTTACACTGTATTCCTGCAGCATCCCCGAGACAGAGATTTTCCCATTTATTTTGAAGAACTTGTTTTCTTGTTAATGGCTTGTGTTCATGTCTGTAAACATTGTGATTTTCAGAGGAAAGGAGTATGGTCATGATGTTGACTTTCTCATAACTCACCAAGAAGAAGGCAAGGAACAGGGTCTTCTTTACCAAGTGATTAACTGGATGGCTGCCCAGGTATGAATTGGACATAATTAATTGCAGCAATTCCCAAAAGATAGTTTAGACTCAGTCCCCTCAACTTGGAAGTAACTCAGCTGATGTGATACGTGTTGTTCTCACGTATGCCAACTGAGTTGCATAAATTAATTCCAAGAGGCTAAACAACTGAAGCAATTACTATCTCAGTTTCTCTTTTGAGACTAAGCATGACAGCAAGCAAAGGCAGTTCTAGTCAGATGGACAAGGACACAGAGGATAATGTGACACAACATATCACAAGCTGCCCCACCTGAGAAATGACGCTTGTCTATTTTATACCATGGTCCCAGTCACACAAGATGACATCTGTGTTTTCCATTCGGAATGGTTTTCTGTCCTGTCTCATGGATGGACAATTGATTAGGAATCTTTTACAACTTGCCATAGGATGCTGGCCAGAAAGGGAAGTCTATGGTCAGCAGTGTAATGGGAAATGGGCATTGTCAGAGCAAGAGGTGGATTTCTTGGAAAAGACGATGAGCAGCCATAGAAGAAAACCTAGCATCTGATGTAGTTCAAGGCTATTTGGAGACGAAGTCTAAGAATTCTGCCTTGGGTTCCTGACTTTTTTTTTAGAAGCAGTTTAATTGCACCAGAGAAACAGGTTTTAGATTTGGCTAAATCCACACATTGTTTTTGGCAAAATTTCAATCTTGACTGTGTGTCTCTTTCTGGATACAGTCAGAGATAGTAGGAACTGCCGATGCTGGAGAATCTGAGATAACACGGTGTAGAGCTGGATGAACATCGCAGGCCAAGCAGCATCAGAGGAATAGGAAGGCTGACGTTTTGGGCCTAGAAGGGTTTCTGAAGAAGGGTCTAGGCCCGAAATGTCAGCCTTCCTGCTTCTCTGATGCTGCTTGGCCTGCTATGTTCATCCAGCTCTACACCTTGTTATCCTGGATACAGTCAGTTCCTTTTTGATCTGTAGTTTTAGATTGATAGAGTGTCATTGGCTGTGTCTCAGGATGTTGTCTGTTGATTATATATTGTCTCTTTGTCTTTTCCACTGGCTAGTAAAGAGGTACTCAAAGCATGGGGGAAAGAAACAACTGAGGCTCCAGTACTCACCATAGCCCATCATCTTTGGTGTCCCCTGATGATGCCTGTTCATGCCCCACTGTCCACATCATGTCTGTACCCCATTCTCAAGCTGAACCATAATGTGCCATATTTGGCATGCTGTTTGACTTTGAACTGAGCCTCACATTGGCCATTCTACATATCACCATTGCATCGTGCTCAAGTGCCCTTCCTAAATGTCAATGTGTTCAAACCTCAGCTAACACAATTTTGGTCCTTTTACAGAACACTCTCCTTGCTGACCGATAGTTTCTCTCACATTACATTCTCTAAGTCCTGAATCCATGGTCGAATCTGTTTGAAGACTGCCAAACAGACCAATCTTCCATGAGCTCTTTCTGTTGCGAATTGCCAGAAAAATGCAGAAAACACTAATTCCACTGCTTTTCTCAGATCAGATGGGCAGTTTTTGTAGTCTAACGATATAATAATCAGGGAACTGCTTAACCCCCTTGAAGAATGTTCCTCAGCCCATTTTGATGTTAAAAGAACAGCACGCAAAAGAAAAGAGGCTTTTCTGAACATGTGGATCATTAGAACATGGAGAGTTTTAAGTGAGAAAGGATGAGTCCAGGTTGGGTTGAAGTTTGAAGTTTTAAAAATAAGATTTCCAATTTTAATCCACCTGTTGAGGCTTTCAGTGAAGCAGGGACTGGGACTGAAATGAACTGAAGCATCTAAGTGCCCAGTCAATCTCTTCCAAGGAAGTGGGCTGTACATCCATCCAATAAGAAGGCTGAATGTGAAATCGTCATTTGATCTTTTCAACTTCAGCTATGTCTGTTCAAGTTGTGAAGAGCTGAATTCCTGTATATCTACCTTGTGGACCACTCTCCCTTCATGAGAAACCCTGCCAATTGGGGTCACCCCAGCCCAAAACTTTCCCATGAGAACTCTGCTGATAGCTCCGTTACACTTCCAGTCACAGAAGCTGGGCGTTTGTTTTTCATGTGCTTTTCTGAGACTATTTTGAGATTAAAAATTGTTATTAAAAATTCAAAGACTTTATGCGACCTTGGCGAAAACCAGGTCATAGAAAGTGGTCCTTCTAAACTGGCTGAGGAGAATTTTTGGTAAATAGTTGGTAACTGAGTTGTTCCTTGCATAATGAATGTACTTGGAAGAAATTTCTCTTGCAGTCCTCAGTAAAAGAGGACAGATTATTTCTGTGGGAAGAGTAAAAGTTTAGTTACAACGTTATTTTCCAAATATTTTAGGGTATGATATTATACGATGACATCACAGACAACAAGGACCAAAAGTGGAAGAACAAGGAGCCTGAGATATTTGATAGTTTTGCCAAGTGTTTTTTGATCTTCAAACTGCAGAAGGATGTGGTAAACGTTCTACGCCCGAACACAGCAGGCGATGATGACTCTTTGGCTGCGAATAAGGCAAAGGAAATTGGGCGTGGTGGCCATGCAGAAACATGTGAGCGTGCAACTTGTGCTGCAGTGAAGGTTAAAGACTGGAAGGCTGTCAGAGTGGATCTGGTGGTTGCACCCTTCAGCCAGTATGCCTATGCCTTATTAGGATGGACAGGCTCACAGGTAAGTCGAATCAAGAGCAGCACGATTGTATTGTACAATATTTAAACTCAAAATGTAACGAAGGAAAATCTAAATGTTAGAGCTGACCAATTTAGAAATTGACCAGGACTGGCTAACATTTGGATCAATTCATTTTGTGGCTTGTGTTTGAAAACAGTCTGTCTGTCTGTCTTTTCTTTACAAACACTGGTACACGTACTCTCCATTTCCAGTATCTTCAGTTTGACGATCTGTAAGGTGGAATGTGAAGAGATTTTGTTTGTACAGAGTCCCATGGATATTAATATTGAAGCTGTTGATCAGCTGAGAAAAGATGCTTCTGATTCTCAAGATTTTGTTTTTAGACTCAATATTTTTGGGTTCAAGCCCTGATATGACTTCATGTACATAATTTAGGTTGACGGTGAAATAACTACCTTTTCAGACAAGTTTTTTTTTGGTAAGCCATTAACAAAACAGGACCATCTGCACCCGTTTGTTGAAACTCTGACAATTTTCTGATGCATGTTTAATAAGTGCTGCTTCTCCCAAGTTACCTGCCCAATTCCCCTCACAAATATCACACTGCAAGTGAATAGTTAATTTTGGCTCACAAAACAAAAGTAATAAATTGGTTTTGCAATGTATTGGATACTGTGAAAATGTGGAAAAGTGGGATACAACAAAAGATTTTTGGCCGTCGTAAGGTCAGTTAACATTAGAGGCATAAAGGTAATTACACAGAGAGGTAACGATTTCCCCAGTTCAGTGGGAAAGTGCTCATGATTGTTTAGACTTTGTCACAAACTCCACACGCTTGCCATTGATTCCACCCCTGCCATAAGGCTGAACCAAGTTGTTTCCAATATCTGCATCTTATTCAACCTTGAATTTCAACGTAATATTCTCTTTATCAGAAAAGCGACTGACTTCCACTTGACTGTTGCAAGTGGTTGCAAGTTCCATAGCAATTTGTCTGTTCTAAAAACAAAATGTATACAGTTCAAAGTACAGTAAATGTGCACTTTAGTGACTTAATGAGTTGCCTGTGAGTAGCTGACCCTGGAATGTCCAATCTCCACAGTTGGTTCAGCACACTGGCAAAACTACCTGTGTCTATCCATGAATAATATGCCCAATTCCTGCGAAAGGTGTGCTGAGATGAATGTGTGGGCTTTGCTTGCCAGTCTCCAATTAGCCCCCAGTAAATTAGCCTTTGAGTGAAGTTTGGCAAGGTACCTGACAACCATCGGAACTCAAGACTGGCATGCGTCTAAGGCTTGAGGTCAGGAAGCAGAGAAAGTTGATTCACTCCAGTGGTAGTGGAGGGGAGGGGTGGGTAGAACAGTGGTGGTGGAAAGGTGGAAGCCAAGGAGAGAGGGGTGTGAGTTTGAGGGGTGGTGTTGGGAAGGGTGAAAACACCTTGCAAATTCCAAGGAGAGAAAAAATGATTCACTTCAAAAAGGGAATCTATTCCTCATGACTTGGTTTGAGTAATTCTTTGTTTCTTGTTTATTTTTGTTGCATTCTGTAGCTGTTTGAACGAGACCTACGAAGATATGCCAAGCACTTCAAACATATGAGTTTGAGCAGCCATTCTTTATTTGATAATGAACAGGTAGGAAGAAATTGAATTCCTTGCCTCTGCATCTTCTGAAAAATCTTCACGTCAAATCTGCTGTTGTCCTGGAAATGCTGTGACTGTTCAATCAGCAGAGACTTGTTGGGTTGAATCACCCCCTTCCGTGTTTTCTGATTCTCAGTGATGCCATGTCATAGTATTCCACAGAATCAAAGTAAAGTTTGGCAAAGAGGCCATTCAGCCATTGTGTCCATGCTGTTTGTGTAAAGGATCTGTCTATTCTAATGTTACCTTGTACACCCTAGTAGACAGCTTGGCACATTGGAGCAATTCAGGTGCATATTCAGCATCCTTTTAAATCAATTGAAGGCTTCCATCTCAACCATCAAAATGGGCGGCAAATTCTGGGCTGAAAAGGATGAAAAGGTGATTGCTCACATCCCCTCTAATCCTTCCACCAATCATTTTAAATCTATGTCCCGCAGTAATTGGCCACACACCTAAGGGTAACAGGTCTCTGTCTATTCTGTCTAAGCCCTTCATTGTTTGTGATGCTGTCAATTTTACAGCAATACTTCCTGACATAATCGAGTGTTATTGTAAGGCAGACGATATTCCAATCTGTAAAACAGTCCTATTCAACTCAGAAAGGAAACACTCCATCCTGGCCAAAGGAATTAACCAACAAAATAATCTAATTTATACAGAACTCCAGTCTTGAAAACTAATTGTTGCTTTTAGAGATATCACTGTTCCTTCAATGACTGGTTCAACATTCTGATATTCTTCCTGAATAGAACAGCAGGTGTTCAGGAAGGCAGCTCAGTACTACCTTGTCAAAGGCAGTTCGCTGGTGATCCTTAGACCCTGACAAGAAATATTTCTCAAAAATCTCCTGTAAATTCCAATAATTTTCCAACATGTGATAGTTCTAGTATCGTGGATTCCCTTTATAAATTGTGCAATAATTGAAGTGACATTTGGTGAGCATGTTGTACGATTGTTTTTATGTGTAACTTTTTAAAAAGCATAGCTTGCTGTTGTGAGTTGCTCACTATGGCAGCTGGTAGCACTTTTGACTTCGTCAGAAGTTAACTGGGAAGTTGCATTCTAGAAACATGAGCACATGATCCAGGCTGTGCTGCAATGAGGGAGTGTTGCATGCACAGATGTGACAATCATGTAAATGATGGCACGTCCAAAGAATGAAGCAGGACATGGTCCACAGACAATAACAACCAATACAATGGAGCATATATTTTCAGGGCTGTTTCTCCACAGTATTCTGTGTTAATCGTAGAGAGGATAGAGCAGGCTGGAGTTTGTATTGAACTATTAATGCAAATTTGTGGAGGACAGACTGACTCCTGCTTCCTGCTTTGGGAAGTGAATGTTGAGAAATATACTAGGAGGGGTGCGATCTTTGAGACGTTCACCCACCGAACTGTCTGCCGTCTTTGGTAAGCCTAAAACATTGACACGATTTGGAAGAACAGGGAAGTTATTCCTAGTGTACTG